TGTACTTGAGTCACAATAACCCCATACAACGCTACAGGCTTGTGGAAGAGTGCCCGGAACGCTGCTTGGCAGAGAGGGGTCTTGGGGTGCTGGTTCACAGCTGACTGAATATGAGCCAGCAGGATGCACAGGTGGCCAAGAATGCCAATGGCATCCTGGTTTGTATAAGAAATAGTGTGACCAGCAGGACTAGGGAAGTGATTGTGCCCCTGTACTCAGCACTGGTGAGGCTGCACCTCAAATCCCATGTTCAGTTTTAGGCCCCTCACTACAAGAAGGGCATTGAGTTGCTGGAGCATGTCCAGAGAAGGGCAATGAAGTTGCTGAGGGGTTTGGAGTACAAGCCATACAGGGAGCAGCTGAGGGAGCTGAGGTTGTTTAGCCTGGAGAAGAGGAGGCTGAGAGGACACCTTATTGCCCTCTACAGCCACCTGAAAGGAGATTGTAGTGAGCTGGGTGTTTGTCTCTTCTCCCAAGTAACAAGCGATAGGATGAGAGGAAATGGCCTCAAGTTGTGCCAGGGGAGGTTTAGATTAGATATTAGGAAAAATTTCTTCACTGAAACAGTTATCAGACACTGGAATGGTCTGCCCAGAGGAGTGGTGGAGTCACCATCCCCAGGGGTATTTAAGACTTCTAGATGAGACATGGTTTAGTAGTGGACAGGTTATGGTTGGATTCGATGACCTTAAAGGTCTTTTCCAACCAAATGATTCTATGATTCTACAAGATGATTTAAATTTACTGAGTTGAATATTCGGTCTTTGCTCAGGATATGAGGTTAATGGCAAGCTAGATACAGCATGTTTAGGAGGAAAGGTATGTCTTCAAACACTGAAGAAACTAAGTTGCAAATGTTGTGGTGTTTCTCCCATCGTAATTTTTTGTTCTGCTACTTTCCAGTGGTCTGCTTAAGTCTTTTGTAGCAAAGGAACCAACTCCTCTATTTTCTGTTCTCTGTACTGGAGGTATTAGAGGCAAGAAGCTAGCTGTCTTGCTGTACTGGGTCTGGCTGGGATGGAGTAAACATTATTCATAGCAGCCCTATGGTGCTGTCTTTTGGGTTTGTGCTGTTGATAAAATATCAATGTTTCGGCTGTTGCTGAATGGTGCCTGCAAAGCATGAGGACTTTGTTTCCCCACTCACCCCTCGCCAAGAAATGGCTGCACATCTGCCTGCTAATGGGAGTGAATTCTGCTTTGCTTGCACATGCAGCTTTTGCTTTCCCTGTGAAAGTATTATCTTGATCCACAAGTCTTCTCACCATTCTTCTATTTCCTCCCCATCCCAGAGAAGAGGGGAGTGAGCAAGCAGCTTGTGAGGGTTTGCTGGGATTAACCCACCACCTCCACCAAAAACTGTGTGAGCTGTCCAGTTCAGAAGGAAATTGGCTGGCAAGATTAAAGTAGGTGAAGTCACTTGAAGTCGTTTGAAAGTAATTGGAAGGAAAAGGTAGGGAGTAAATCCCACTCTTGCTTAGTTCCCTTTCACAAAATACTGAGTACATCTTGCATTTACTTGGGTTGTAGAGCAAGATTAGTGTAGATTAATTATCCTGCTGTTAAAGTGTCACGGGTGTGAATGATCAAGTCTATGTATTCCATCTATTTCATACTAAAAATTCTTGGACCAATTCTTTTGTAGTAGTAGCACATGATTATCCTTGTAGAAAAGTGTAAAAATACATCTCTACTTCAAAAGAAGTAATTTTTAATATAAGTTCCTTCATAAAAGTTTATTCACTATTAAAAAAGAAAAAAAAACCCTTATATCAAAAGACTACCCTCTGGTACAGTAAAGATATGGAAAATTAACTGAAATGAAAACCTGTTCTTTAGAATGTAGGAAATTTTAAGCATTACTTTTGTACAAAGCTCCTTTCATGTATGGACTGCTGATTTGTTGGGATTTTTTTTCTTTATTCATTACAGTGGTATTAGACCAAACAAAACACTTTCTTTGAGTTTTTCTGTATTCTGTAACCTGTGTAAATACTACCTCTGAATGTTTGAAGCAATCGCAGTTTTCAGTAATAAGTTGAGGTTAGCTTTGGTTTGGGGATTTCTAGCGTAGGAATAAGAAGGGAGGCTTAAGATGTTTGGTGATTTTGTTAAATGCCACTTAAATTCCTGCCTTTGAAATTCCACTAGTCACTTTAAATCTTTGACTGTGACATGTTTTTGTCAGACAACAGCAAACCCTGGCAGCAAAAAAATCATGTCTTTAGACTAGCATGAGAAAGCCAATTATGTAAACACATCATGTCCAAAAACTGAAATGTATTTTTCTATCCAGGATTGTTTATCTGAAGGAACTAGTGTTGATCATTTCAGGAAATGGAGCAGAAGGGCTGTATAGCATAAAGAACAGGATTTTTTAATGCAGAAAACTATTTTCCCAAGGCAAAAAAAAAATATTCCAAGATTTCAAATATGTGATTTTCTTAATGAAAAAATATTGAATTATGACAAGTGAGCATTTTCATAGAAAGATATTTGTCAAAAACTCTCCCAGAACAGTTCTATAAAAATAAGAATATTAAGCAAAGTCAATGCTTGTCTTACATGCAAAGCACGGACACTAACAGCTCTAACGTTGTTAGTGTAAGCAGCTCTGTGGAGGGGGCTTTCATTAAATTCATTGCATAAGTGAATCTCTTTACCTTTCTTCTGAAAATAAGAAACTTTGTTTTCATGAGCACCTGAAGTGATAGAGCTATGGGGTGAGTTTTCCATAGGACTCCTTTGGCTTCTAAAATTCAAATCAGCTGTTAAACTTCTGCCTGCTGCCTGTTGAGGAGGGTTGGCAAGCAATGATTTGTCCAGGCTGCTGGCTTCAGCATCTTCTTCCTTGGGTGGGTCAAGCTGTCCTTGTGGCGGTCCTTGCATAAATGCTGGTGATGCCACATGATGAACTGGACTGGAAAACTGATTTGGCAAGAATATAACTCTCTTTAATGGCATAAGGCCACCAAAATATGCAACTTGGGCTGGAAAATGGGCTCTTTACAATTGATAGCTGTCTCAGTCTTCCTGCAGCTTGTCGATGGTGGTGACTGCTGTATGCAATACGTATGTGGTTTTTCTAGTTGTGCTATTGTAACAGCCTGCTATTACACAGAATGAAGTCTTTGTCCTAGCTTTCAGTAACCTCCTGGATCTACCAGCCCATGTTCCTCAAGCTTATCAGACAAGTATAATACAGTACATCATATTAATGAATTAACAGTGGCCACATGTCCTTCATGGCAATGACATCTTTGGGGGGAAGGAAAAAAAAAAAGGAAACATTCAGTAATGTGATTAAGTATTTTTTTAAAAAGTTGAACATGGTTTGCCTAACTGGGAGTAGCTGTTATGAAGTGATAATGAAAAACCAGATATATTTAATGCAACTTTAGCTTTTTCAGTCTTTTTTTTTAATCTTTTCCTGTGGTTGTAGTAAGCACAAGATATCACTGGTGGCTAAAGCATCCCCAGAAATGCTATCAGCGAGCACTCACAGGGAGGGGAAAGAGAACGTAAAACCATATTGACAAACAGCTAGAAATTAACTAAGGACAGCTATTCTCAACACACATTCACAAAAATTCCAATTGTCCAGTTCTCTGCTGGATTTAAGTACTGATGGAGTGGAGGGAGGCAAGTCCTAATCTTCCATCACTGCCCACGGTTACTCTTTTTCAGAAATCTTTGTGTTAGTTCTGGTACAAAACATGAAAGCAAGTATCCCAGAGTTGTGCATCTGCTGCTGCTATAGAAGCTGTCATCAGGAAATTCTTGCCTTGCAGCGTGTACTTATTATAGTGGTTGATTGTAATAGTCCCATTTAAACTTGAGTGGTGATACACACTGTGTTATGTAAAACACAGTACAAGGTTGTTTAAACATGAAAGATAATTGCTGATGTTTCACTGGCAGTAACTCATAGGCAGTCATTCCTATGACTAATTAAATACACTGACCTTTAGTATTAGCAGCCTTGATGGGTTTCAAGCCATGATATGCTTTGATGCTAGGCATAGCTTTCAACCTCTCTTGTCTGCTTTTGCTTTGTTCTGAACAGAGCTCATGAATCTTCCTGTTTGTTTTGGACAGTGCAAGCAGGTGTCTGATATGCTTGCGCTCCCTGCAGGGTCCTGCCACCTCGCAAGACTGTGCCATGCTTAGTCCTGCATGCCTCTAGCTGTTTTCTGTCAATTGCATCAAACCACATGGACCTTCTGAGCTGCCCCTGTGTCCTTACCCCTTCCTTTTTCTCTGGCTCCCACCACCCAGCAAGGAGGGTATCTTGATGCAGGCATTTGCAAGCATTTTGACCTGTCAGCAGATCTGTTAAGGCCAAATCTCTCGGGTGCTTGGAGACAGAGGGAAACTGCAGCACAGATAAACGTGTTGGCTTGTGTTTTACTTTATCCTTAAAGGTCATGATAGGCCCAGCTTCTAACTCCTAACTTCCCCACATTTTACAGATTCTGTCACCCTGGTTTGATGGCTTCTTTTCAGGGCTGTCCCTGACCTGAAAGATTTGGCAGCAACATTTCATCCATTGCTTTCACAGCAGTTACTGTAACAGTGTAGATGTAAGCTGCAATCAGAAATGTCCAGATGAACCATCTTCAGCTTCTTAAACTTATTCCTCCAATTGCAACTGCTGAGCAGTATGGAATTTTCCCCATGAGGAAAAATTGTAAGTCTGAGCATATCCTTGCATATATTTTGAAGTTTGTTTCCTTTGTGCCCTTTCACCTCTACTCTTAAAAGCTGAAGTGTGACAGATGATTTGCCCAGGATTTGAGAGAATCACTCCATAACTCACCAGGTACAGCTTTTTGCACCGAGGGAAGCAAAATGAAGTATGAACATATGAAAGGCTTGTGAAGACACATCACCTACTGAGGTTGCTTTGATGCCCAGTGGAAGAGTCAGACTTGACATGAACTGTGCTGCAGCCTTCTGGATTGATACAATCAAAACTACCCTCATCCTGTCTCTTTTAGGGAAGTCAGTCATATCCATTCCAGCACGCAGGTACTGCAATATGCTCCAGGGATTACAAGTACAATGTCAATAACTCAGATGACCAAGGTAAACAAGGATATGAAACTGCAAGCACACAACACATACACAGAAAATTTACTGTTTCTTAACTTTCTTCCATTTCTTACTGTAATCAATCAGGTGCTCATCCTGTGTTTCACAGTGACTGCTGCTGGCAGAAGATGCAAGCAGCTAGCAGCAGGTACCTATGTGATAATCCTGCTTATGGGCAAGCCAGGTTTGCTTGGGGATGAACTGCACATGATAGAAGAATCCGTGTGGAGCATAGAGGGAATGCACATCCAGATACATCCGGTAGGTATCTGCAGTGAGGCTATTTCTCTTGCTGTTAAATCTTCTGTTGACATATCTCTTGGTCACAAGAACTTGACTAATTAGGCTTTATTTTTTAAGCATACATTCTGCAGTATTTCTTACCACTTCTCTTTCTTTTCTGCATTTCTAAGTCACATCATTAGTGACAGCAACCTACTGCTGCACAATATTTCAGCAAATTATACTGCTTAATTAACCAAGTGATGTGTAATAATACTGCATGACATTTTTCTAGAAGTGTTACCTAAGAAGCCTGAACCTCTTAGAAGTGATAACAGAAAAGTGGTAGTAGAGTTCAGAAAGATAAATGTGCTGCAAATGGTTTGGTATCTCTGAAAATCTGTGTCTACGATAATGATTCAGATCAGAGAAGTAATGTGCAGTTTTGAAGTCCTCTGATGGTCTCCACTTACCATGTGGTAATTCAGTTCCCGGAGCAGTGACTGAGCAAAAAAGTAGATTCTTTAGAGGTGGAACTAAACATTAGTCTCTTCTCCAAAAACACTCTGAATTTCCCTTGGTGTGTAGTTTGTTTAGACTCTAGTATTCCCATGCATGGCCTCCACCCACTGTAATGAATTCCAATGTGCATCTAATAAATCTTCCTATAAGGAAGCTTTGAATTACGCATGGAGGTAAAACACTTCAGTGCAGGAGATGAGACTGCATCTAACCAACAGTATTCTGCCCAAACCACATGTAATTGCAGTGTGAAGGGCTCAGCAGCAGCCACTTTGATCTGTTCCTAAAATATTAGCTGACATAGATGTAGTATAATTGGCCAGTACTATTATTTCTAAATTTGCAAGACCTTAATATAGTCAGTCCATATTCCTTGGCTTAAGCCCCATTCTTTATGTAATGCTGCAAACCAAATTAAAGATACAGAAGTGTTTCTGAAAATGTTTACACAGAACTGATGTTGTGAATCTACAATTATTTTTACAGTTATCTTAATGTAGCCGTTATGGCTTAATAACAGCATTTAGTCATTGTTCTTCTGCCTGCTAAGGCAAATAATGTGCTTGTCTTAATGTAACAGAAACTGCAGTCAGTAGCAAGATCCTTAATATCTAATTTGCTAAACCTTATTTTGCACTTTTTCATCTGAAATGCAGATTTAGAAATTGAAGTAGTGTATGTAACATTTCAGTGCACAAAATCATTACCAACAGGATATTTGGATGACAGTTGTAGTTTGGTTTGGGAGGGTTTTTTTTAGCTGAGACTAATTTGTCTTCATGTACCAGAAGATTTTTAAAAGTTAACAAGTTTTATGTTGGGAAGGTTTTTCTTGTATTTATTTAGCAGCACGTAGTGAAACTGTTAACTCCCTCCGCTGTGTTTCATTTTCTGTCTGCTGCACCTGAGAGTTGCAATTCCCAATGGTACAGCCATAAGCTGAAAATCAGGAATTGGTCCTCAGTCCTCATTGAGTTTGGTGATTCCTTGTGCTGCAAAGATTATGTTCACATAAGGGATGTGTGGGGGATGATTTGTGTCTCTGACAAAAGCACAGAAGTACAAGTGATATTGGCCCACTTTACAGATAGGGATCTGTCACATAGAGGATATTTCAGGATATACATTACAATGCTTTGCTGATACAAGGATTCACTGCTTTCAGATCTTGCCATGTGTTTCTTTTACTGTATTCTTCCATATTTAATTGCAGTTAGGAAAAGCCCACTTGTGAGTTAGATGGGATGAATACTCTCCTTGATGCCCTTCACATATTTTATTTTGCTTCCTTTCAGCTATGTTTTATCGTTGCACTCTAATGATTCATGCTCTAGCAAATGGAGTAATTGGGGACAGTGTGCCATGTCATACGTTAAAGATACATCAAAGGTATAAAATGGTGTCCATAAGAGGTCATACCGTGCTTTTCACTGTGTCAGACCTTTTTGCAGCTTTGCAGCAGCTCCCCAGTTGGTGCTTCAGAGCTACCTGTGTGTAGCCACTCTTAGATCCAGAGACTGGCAAAAATGTATTTCTGGAGCAGGCAAATGAGACCTGCAGGTGCTCACAGGAAGCACACATTGCCCAGGCATCACAGGGAAAACTAATATCCTCCGTCCCTGGGAGCTGCTGGCAGCTGACAGGTGAGAAGAAGGAATGTGGGTATGTTTTCCTGTGTTGCAATATTCTGCCAGTTTCAATTGCTTGGGAGGAAAATAGCATCCCAGCATAAGGAGGTGACTAAGGCTGTGCTAGGCACTGTCCCTGCTGTCCCAGCCTGTTCCAGCTGAAGGCCAAGCAGGTGGGACACAACAGAAGGGAGTGTAGGGTATTTCCAGGGCGCTGCAAGCTTTCTGCCTTCTCTTCCCTGGCCTTGCGTTGGCACCTCTTGAACTGGTGCAGAGGCAACTGGTTGGTCTTCTACACGGCCAGTGCATGTGATCTTCAGTAACTCCAGGGAAGTTTTGGTGTATAGCCTTAAATATAAAGCTCTTCATATTCAAAGGATGTGTTTGCTGTATATCCTGGGAGATACAGGTTGTGTTTTCTCTGTCACTGCCTATGAGACCTTGCTTGATTTCCCTAGCATTTTCTTCTATGTAAATACACTAAATGTGCCTACTGTAGGTATCCATGCACTGTATTGAAACTAAATAGACATTTATGTCCAAATACTAGTCAACATAAGACAAATATATTTCATTTAAACATAAATTAATTCATCAAGTTTATCGAAACCTCTTTGTTAATCCAAAACCTATGTAAATCGTAGCCCTGTGCCAAGCACTAAAAATCAAGATTATGGAAGGACTTGCAGGAGGAAAAGTTAATATTATTTTTAATTGGAAAACTTCACAAAGAGGTCAGAACTGTGATGGTTACAGTGGTTCCATGAATCTGATGCTTATAGAGTCGCATCGGCTGAATAACAGCAGGTAAGTAATTCGTGCTTATTGTTCTTATAAGGAATCTCAGAGACAAACTTCTTCAGCACAGTGTCAGGTTCTGGCCTTGCTGAGTATATATTACAACACAGTAGTTAGGAAGTACTGACTTCAAATATATTTGCTGCTTATAGAGTAATCCCTGTTTATGTATTCAGTTGATACCTCAGAAAGCAAAAAATATTTATAAATACAGTTTCACTTTCGTTAGAGCTTAAAAAGATTTATCTTGAAAAATTTTTAAGAGGGCTAAGCAAAAGTATTAAAGCTGACATTCTCATTCCAGTCCTCCAGAAAAAGTCATCCTTAAATTTTCATAAAAATCCAGCAATAACTAAAATGGATTTCTCTGTCTAAGTAGAGCTCAGTGTCTCCTCTCTGGGTGAATAATTGGATTTCTTAGGTTATCCAGCTGATACATACACCAATAACATACAGATATTTGAGAGTCATATTAACAGTTTTTATCTTGTTGCCAAAGTAACAGAAGTTTTGTAATACTTGAAACACTTAATTTGACCTAAAATAACAAGATTAATTTTGAAACAGCTAAAGAACAGAACAGAACTGATGGACTAGGCAAAACTGGACTAGACCCAAGACAAGGGTCCAATTGTAGTTTTTAGAGGTCTCAGTGTTAATGTGAGATGGACCTAGGGGTAAAATGGCTGTCCTCTTACAGAGCAGTGGTGAGGTTGGTGTGAAATACCCAAATGCTTGTTGGTTCAGAAAAACATTGTTATTGCCCTTGTGATTAGAACACCCTTGTAGGAGGTAAGATATCTGGGGTACAATTTCTAGTCCTCCAAAAATTATTGGTCATGTGTTCTATCAAAGCAGCATTTAATGCAACAGAGCAGCCAGTGTGCCTGAGGTATTTATCTTTCTATGGGTCAGGGTCCTTGACAGAGAGCTGAGTACCCAACGTTGTGCCTCAGGTGCTGAGTGAGACAGCAGCTGGGCTCCTCACCTTCCAATGGCCTCAGGCAGCCATTTGGCTTCCAGGTGACACAGCTTGTCTCACTTGTGCAGCTCGTTTACATCTGTGACTTAGCAATGTCATGACCTAAAGTGCAGGTGATACTAAAGCACCCATTTTGTCCTGTTATCTGCATTACCTGACCCTACTGTGTCTGCAGCCCCTGTCCTCCCCTTTTTAGGGGTGTGCTGTAGCCCACCTCATGTCCATGCTGCCTCAAAGGGGCACATAGTGGTGGTGGCGCATTCAAGCTGAACAGTTAAGTTGTGCCATAATCCTGGTAACTTCTATTTTTCCCCTAAGCAGAGTCTTCTCCACAGAGAAGACTCTGTGTGTATGTTTCTAAGTGTATGACTGGCATATGTATGTGCACACAAATATATATATCTAACACTTCTAACTAAATGCAAGAAGATCACAATGATATTTATTAGATTCTGTCCATTTTAGGGTCAGGAACAGGTTATTTTTGTGTGCCTGAACAGACCTAACACAAGGAAGTTCTGGTTTACTCATGAAATCCCTAGAAAATTCTGCAAAATAAAACAATAATAAAAACTTTCTTAACATGCGATCAATGAGGCTACTTAAAAAGACTTTTCAGGAATAGGATGAAGAGGCTGATATTTCTTTTGGGGAATTCTATTAATGAGCTTTTCATAGGCTCTGTACTCATTAAGGAAAATATAGAGACAGGCAAATACCACATGGCTTTATATTTTTTTTTCACATTAAGTATATTTATTTAAATATTAAGTGAAACTTATCCTGACAACTTGCTAAAGCAGCCATTGAATCTGTGTAATTCTGAATACTCTAGCTCAGGTACTTTCAAAGCCATTTGTTTGTTCAGTATTTTCTTTTGAATGTTTAATTGTACCAGCTTCCCTCAAGCAAATGAATGTAGTCCATCAGGAAAGTTGTGGGATCACAGCTTCTAGGTCAGTGGGAATTATTATATTTACTCCTCAAGGCTGTGGTTTTGTCTTTGTAATACAGAGATGTAATTACCATAACTCTGATACCTTAAGATCAGAATTACACAAAGTAGTAAGAAGGCTCAATATACTAAATTTGCAGAAGTGTTTTAATGT